GAAAATCTCTCCAAAAAAAAAAAAAAAAAAAAAGGACAGTTCCTAAGATCACTAAATGGCTGGTTTCATCACTCAAGTGCTTACAAAACACGTTTACGGGGGCCGGCAGGTGGCATGGTGATTAAGCGTGCTGGACTCCCACATGGTTGACCATGGGTCGAGTCCTCGACCTGGTGGATTGCTTTCTTACTTTCTCTCTCTCTCTGGTAAAATAGTAATAATAATAATAATAATAATTCTTTTAAAAACAACAACACCACCACTCTGGGTGTCTGTTTGTGTACCCAGAATCCTGACAGGAAAGAGGAATGGAGGAAAAAGGATTGCGGTGTGACCAGGCCCTACTTGGCTCGTTCGCTTGCTCTCTCTCTTTCTCTCTCTCCCTCTCTCCCCCCTCTCTCTGGTGAGAAAAAAATGCCCTTTAGCAATTAAAAAAAATTCAATATGCTAAAAAATAATCATCCTAGAAAATGTGATAAAGTGGAAACTGCCATCATCATTTATAAAAATACATTGTTTTGTGGTTTGGGATTATTTTGGTGGAGGGATGCAGAGAAGGCAATAGAAAGAAAAAAAAACAAAAAAAGAACCTATACCTACAAATTAGAGGAAGAGAAGACAGCAGATGATTCATCTATTAGAATTAAATGTCAAAGAGCAAAACGTGGAAATTCTACAACAGTTTAACCAAAACCCACAAGCACTGTATGAAGGAGGTGGGCAGTGGGCAACAGTACTGCTGAATACTCAAACACTGAGTTGAAACCAGTGAACAGACAAGTAAGTAAACCTTATTTATTGCTTACTTTAAATAACCAAAGATCATATGGCTATAAAGAAATCTCAAAAAGATTTCGATAATTAACCCCCGTTTCAGTATCGAAGTATGGAAAACTGAGCTACCCACAAAGACGACTGTTCTTCCATTCTCAAAGAGGTACGCCCCCAGCAGGGACTGGCTCCTGCCAGGGTGGCCCTGGGAGCCCAGTGGAGGGAAGTGGTGGGAGCCCAACAATAGGTACACCTGTGGGCACGGCCGGTGTGTGCAGGTAGACCCGGGATTAGAACCCCAGGCCCTAACACATGGCTCTGATATCACACAGCAGCACCCTGCTGCCTGTGCCGGGCTAGGCCTCATTTCTTTTAAGAAGGGGAGGAATTTTTTTCCAAGTGATCACCTAGTTCTAGGACAAAGAATAAAACAAGATTATTTACCTTCGGTATTCTATGCTTAGCCTTTTTAAAGATCAGGTAGCCTCTACTAAGGAATTTTGTGGAAAACACATACTCAGTTAAAAACAAAAACAACCCAGTAGGGTGCTCCTCCAACACTGGGATGTCCTATTCCTCTTGACCTGGCTTCCCCTTTCACAAAAACCATCCCTAAGTCCCACCCACCCACCCTCCGTAAAGCTCT